GTGTAGCTTTACCAAGGTTAGCGTGTAGCTTTACCAAGGTTAGCGTGTAGCTTTACCAAGGTTAGCATGTAGCTTTGTTAAGATTAGCTTGTAACTTTACTAAGGTTAGCTTGTAGCTTTGTCAGGGTTAGCTTGTAGCTTTGTCAGGATTACTTAGTGGATTTGCCAGGGTTAGCTTGTAGCTTTGCCAGGGTTAGCATGTAGCTTTGCCAGAGTTAGCTTGTAGCTTTGCCAGGGTTAGCTTGTAGCTTTGCCAGGGTTAGCTTGTAGCTTTGCCAGGGTTAGCTTGAAGGTTTGCCAGAATTAGTATACAGCTTTGTCAGGATTAGCTTCTTCAGGTTTCTCCATTCACCCAATATTTCCACCTGTAGTAAATTTCATGCTAATTCTTCAAACATCTGTTGAGATATTTTAGTTTGGTTCAAAGGTGAGGGGTAATCAGTCCAACCATCCACGGACATACAGTATGTATGAAGGAAAGCTGCAGACTCATAAGCAGGCCGAGGGAAAAATGCAGACATGAAAGCCTCTTTCTGCGTAATTACAAACGTGATCAAAGGTTGAGGTCAGAGGTCGGGGATATCGATGGCCGTAATCCAGCTCCGTCGTCCCGTCTGCTTCCGCTCTCGTGCATCATTGTGCGTTTGAAGTCGGCAGGAAGGAGCGCCTCCATGGTAACCAGATAGCTCGGCGTGCAAAACTATGGGAATCAACCGCGGACGAGGAGCTCCAGTCATTAATCTGACTGAGAGGAGTTGTTGCTGCCATTGGGTCAGAAACAAAAAACACCTGACTTACTGGAGGGTCTCTGCACAGATGCTGACTGGTTTGTTCGAAGGAATTTATGAACAATGTTTGGTTTGTGGGTTTAATTTGAGGACAACCTTTCGATCTTTGACTCGTCGCTTTTAAACACACAAAAAAACCACAGACTGTTGACATTTGTGGATCAAAATATCAAATAGATTTAGAAAAATTTCAGACAGTTTTTCAAAGGTCTCGGGGTGAACAATAAGAGAAACAAGCACTCGTGTGTTTGCGTACCTCAGATGCAGGTCCTCTGAGTATTTCAGGCAGGCGTAGATGAACTCTTTCAGCTGGGAGTAGACTTTAGGCACAAACTCAGAAAACGGAAGCTTCTTGGGAAAAGGAAGCTAGAGGAATAAAACAAAAATATTTTATATTCACAACTTTAGTGAAAGTTCCCCCACATCTGGTCATCTCACCAGCCACTGGGTTCATTTCATTGAAACTCTTTAAGTGCTCATTGGATGAACTTTTACACAATTAAAGTCAACCTGATCCAAGATGGCTGCCACAGCTAACTGATCTTAAACCTAAACAGCTCTAAGCCAATTGTACAGATATTAAACCCATATTTGGTGTGGTAGTAGCTGAGAGTCATGCCTAACATACTCTGGGTGCTAACAGATGATGCAAGGTGGCAGGTGATGTGTATTCATTAAAACAACACTGGTAGTAAGGGGTGAGCCTTTCTCAATAAAGTTTGCTGGACGATTAATTGCCTCAAAAATTATCGCAATAAATGATACTTTTGTTTGGAGACCATTTTAAACTAAAATAATGATACACCTCCTTCATACGGAGGTAAATTAAATTAACTTACGCAAAAAAAAAAAAAAAAGTTATAAAGTTACCATTGCTAGAAACCTCTAACCAAGCTGGTACAATTTAGTATTTGTGTGTCTTCATGAAATAACTGTTGTCATCCTCACGCCACTTATGAAGTTTACGTATGTTTACGTAATAATTACGTAGTTTACGTAAAGTTATGGACAGAGCGAGAGCAGAGATTGTGAAAGCAACACACAACAGCTGCTGAAGATGTAACATCACTTCCCACCTCCTCTATCCAAGCTGACGCAATTAACCCTCTGTGTGATTCTCTGACTTCATAAAATAATTGCGGTCAACCACATGGCACTTACGAAGTTTACGAAATTTACATAATATTTAAAAAACACCATCGGCAAACCCAAGGTTTCCTGGTTTCCTGGCATGGTTTCCTGAGGATTTGCTGAAAGAAGTCGTCAGAAAACTGAAGACGCTCCTCTAGCTCAGGGGTTCTCAAGCCATTTGGGTCTGAGGACCCCCTTATAAGGGCAAGAAATTTCCAGGGACCCCCTCATAAACCCCATGCTGTTTTAAAAGATAATTTGTCATTTCAACCCCTAAATGCCATGGGAATATATATTTTTAATAAGTTTATATTATTTGTTTTATAAGTTCATTGTTCCCCAAGCATTTTTAAAAATAAAAACCAAATTAACAATTTAGTGACATTTTTTGAGGACCCCCAAGATACCTCTCACGGACCCCAGTTTGAGAACCTCTCCTCTAGCTGAATGCCTGTTCACGGGACTCTCATGCTACAGAGTTTAGAGACCATGCACCTGGAAAATAACTGACAGAGTCACACCTCCCTACACTAAGGAGTAGAAAATAGACAAATAAAACCAAAAAAAATTTGACCTCATTTAAATTTATTGTGCAATTAATTGATTTCATGTGTATCGGGACAGACCTAGTAAGGGTTGGGGGGGGTAACTTTATTTTGACATATTTGCTTTGTACCTTTTCCAGTTCGGGGTCTTGCAGTGGAAACTGGGAGGCGTAGTTTCGGTACTCCAGTTCTGTTGAGACTGGGATGGGACTGTAGTTGTCCTGGTCCAGAATGTGCCTGGACAGAAAACATAAATCACAGATAAATCTTTTCCCGTCTCATCTCTGATGATAGACGTCGACAGGAGCGACGTCAGTCAGCCTCTTTTTCCCTCTCCGACTCAGAAACAACAAACATCCCATTGGGGGTCGTTTCAGCGCTCGAGGTTTTCTTACCACCCTACCTTCTGTCAACACCCTCCGCCCCGCCCCCCCAAACTTCGTTTTGGCTGTGCAGAGTTCGAACGCTCCAGTGTTCCATAGAGAGGCCGTGAACCGGAGAGGGCTCTCTCAACAATACAACATTCCTGTGGCTTCCCAAGTGTGTGTGTGTGAATGAGAGAGAGAGAGGGGAAGGAGAAAGGGAATGTGTGTTTGTTTGTCCGTTCTCACTGCTCCGAGTCCCACTGGTGTCACCGGACAAAAGCCACGGCCAAACAATGGTGCGTCGGGTCCAGAGTCTTACGAGGGCACTGCCCGTTCTGAGAGGCATAAAAACGGTCCGGACGTTGCTTTTTTAACAACACATCCTCTCTTCTCTCCAGCAGCTCGTAAAAACCTCGTCTGAAGGCGAGGGCGTTTCCCACCAACACGCTCGGATGTGCGAGAACATGCTCCTACAAAACCGGGTCGCCCTCGTGACCTTTATGACTTGAACGGCGAAGGTCGATATGGGTTTACAGACCTGAAGGTGATGTTCCATTTCTTCAGCAGGATTTCTCCGTACTGCTCCCTCATCTCCAGCAGCATGTCAAACAACTGTGACACGGGGAAACCATAACCCTGCGGATAGGATGGAGGAAAATTATAAAAACAGCATTGTGATGGGACAAATCAGACCAAATTTCAACCACATCAACTCAAACCAAATCAGTTTTATTTAGACATATAGTTCAATATAGAGAAAGTGGCAGAAAATGTAAAGGAATTTGAGTCGCAATGGATTCAAAACAGCCTGAATAATTAAACTTGTTTCTGCAAAGCATAAGTTACTGGGAAATATGAAAGCCAATAAAGCTTCTCATCACTTCACATGGATAAATGGTGGGCATCGGACCACCCATTCATCAGTTTCCCCTTCCTTCGTATGCCTCGTTTGTCTAGTCTTTCTGCCGTCCGGTTTGCACCCACAACCCCTCCATCTCCTCATCCATCATCCTGGACCCATCCAGGGTTGTTCAGACGTACAGTGGAGCATAAACACACAGAAGTTCATCTGATGTTGGTTTTCTCCATTTTTAAGCATTCCGGTTAAAAAGTAAAGTCTGCTTTTGGAAACTGGCAGCTGATCATTTTTAAAAAACGTCTCCTGGGACGTATATTCTTTCTGACAACATAAGAAGTACAAGAACACCTCGATGAACTGGACTGTAAAAGACAACAAAGTTTTCAGTGATAAATCAAAATGAATACCTGCAGAGTATCGGCAAACAGAACAATGAGGTTCTTCAGATCCAGCACCAGATCAGGGTCGTCACAATAAGACTGAAGAAACAAAAGTTGGTGTAATTTGGACATTTTAGACAAAAACACAATTTGGACCAATCCCATTTCCCACTCCAAGATTTCCAGCGAACTATTGGTCTCGAAGCTGCTGGATTCACTGTTTGAGATTTATGCCTCTTTATTGATGTAATTTAAAGGAAAAGGGTGAAATTTAAGAAGACATCTTACATTCCTGGGAATACTGGTGGATCAGTTCATTTTTAGATAATATAAATCCAGTTCTCCTCTTTGACAACAATATTCAGATTTATTCAGATTGACAATAAAGTTTGGTTGATTGATTGATGACTTGCTCATGTCATGACCTACATTTGAATTTACTTAGAAATTAATCGATTGGGGCATGGACGGGTGAACTGGGATTGGACCTTCATCATAAAAAAGTTTTTCATTCATCTTACAGAGTGCGTCCTCAAGGCAGCGACTATTTTGGACAACGCCAACTCCCAAAGCTCTTCCACGTAAGCTCTGTTGACCAAACCCTGTGTGGTGTGAAGGACGTGATCCTCAACAACGAAGAAGCTGGATGGAAGGAGAGAAACACAGCTAAATGATTTTGGAACATGACTAATAACAACTTAAGAAAACTTAATCTGTTTAAAACCAAAAAACTATTTGCAAATATTTATTAAAAACTTGACAAAAACAAAAAAACTAGCAACTATCAAACAAGTTACAGGTTCTTGATTAAATTATTGTTTGTTTTGTTTTTATCTTTAAATGCAACAAAGTAAAGTTTATTTATAAAGCACCTTTCACAGACACAAAGTCACAAAAGCGCTGTACAATAAGAATCAATGCTAAATTATACAAAGAATAAAACAAGCATAAAAAGCACAATAAAATCAAAACATACAAGCCATGGAAAATAACTGTTTTCAGTTACTTTTCGAAAACCTCAAAACAAAGCTCTAGGGGTAAAGTATTTCATAGGCTGTGTCCAAAACGGCAGGCCGGGTCCTCGGAAGACCAAATTCGTCGGCTGCATACGTCACAGCGCCGCGACGAAGGCCGTCCAAAACCAAAAGTTCCTCCGATGCTGCCGACAAATACGTCCTTCCTTTTTCTCGATTTGAAGGACAGGTCTGATGGATCCTTCCTGGCCCATCGTATCCCATAACGCATTGCGGCCCGACCGGAGATTTTTTTAAGCTAGTAATGGCGGACGAAGCGACACAAAAGAATATGTTTTAAATAAAAATATGGCGATATAAAAATTACATTTTTTAAGCGGTTGTAATTCTAATACTTTTATCATTTGTATAGATATGTTTTTAAATATTATTTTTGTCATTAAAAAAACATGAAATAAACATGCACCTACAGCAGGTCAATTAGTTCTTCAAATGTTACTTTTAAGTTAATTTTATAGTTTTGTGATATTAATAATGCTAATGTATTGATATTTTTCTAGTTTTGATTTAAGTTTGCTTGTTTAGCGTCGTCACAGTTGTTAGATGACATGACGTAAGGACGGGACGCTAGACCGTCCAAATTCACAGCCTCTGTTTTTCCAGTCTTCCCGGTCTACCAAGGACACGGCCCACCTCGATTGGGTAGTCTGGGTCCTCCGGAGGACCCGGCCTGTCGTTTATGTCACAGCCAAAAAAGGCAAGTCATGCCACTTGGGGGCTCGTCCGGGATGATTTGAACTTGTTGAGCCCAAACTTCACTGGATTTGAAAAGCATGATGTGTCCCATCTTGCACTATTTCATTGTTCAAACCTGTACAACACTGTCGTATTCTTGAATTTGAACAGTTTTTATTTTATGATGTTGCTGTTGACCTCTTGGCCAGGTCACTCTTGGAATAGAGTTCTTGATCTCAATGGGTTTTATCTGGTTTAATATATGTCACTGAAGTGGTAGTAAAGTAATTTAAATCCCGGTTTTGAGGATATTTGATGAAAAGACAAGAAAGTTTCCAGAGAAGCTGCCATAGACTTCCAGATGAAGGGCCAACACCAGCCAAGTGAACGACACATTCATCCAGTCGGTGTTAAAAGATGTTGTCATGGTAACACGCCACACTCATCGATCACACGCCGAGCGGAGTGAACGGATCAAAACGTTGGTTTGTCTCCACTGACAAAATGTCTCGATCAAGCGAGGCTCGCCAGACCACAGTGAGCTGCACCGAGGTCCAAACTGTGGCCCAGAAGGGTAAGTTTAGCTGTTTTTAATGGTAGTTTTTAACAGATTCATGCAAATCAGCAACTCTGGGATCTTTGATTTGAGCATCACGGCCACTCGGGTTACAACTTTAATGCGTACGTCAGATTAGCAAAACAAGCCAACCACCTTCATCACCTACTCCATCACTCATCACCACTGAGGAGACGTGAGACAAAACGTCTTCATGGTGCAGACGGGGAACCAGATCGAGTGACGGACGAGCAGAACCACCAAGAGGAATTAAAGAAAGGGCTGAAACAAACCGCTGGAAGGAAGAGTCAAACTGAAGAAATGAAGCAAGGTGCTTCTAAATGTTATAGCTTCTCATCTCGTGCCAAAGAACACAGAAAACCTGAAATCAACGGATGATGTGAAACGATGGACGGTTGAAAAGAATCTAATCGAACAGATTACTGATGGGTTTTGTTTGAAGCGTGTCCTGACTGAGGCATGTTGGGTCTTTGAAGAGTTTCGTGTTTTTGTTGGTGAAATAGTAGGCGGACCGACTTACCCAACAATCTGATTGAAGTATCGTCTGTAACCCTCCAGGGTTTCGTGCTAGAAATAAGTTATAAAATAAAAATTAGTAACACAAGAAACTTTCAAATAATCACAAAAACCTTGACCTTGTATCTTAAATATAAAAGCGAATTAAAGTAGTCAGCATAAAAGAAACTGCATTTTTGGGATACATCCAAATCCGTTTCAGTAAAAACTTTCATTTTATACAATTTTGTTTTGAAAAAACAGGTTTGGCTTTGATAACTTAAGTCGTTTAGCACTTGATTCACCTTTTTTTTTAAATAAAATGTTTGGAAAGTAATGAAAAACTGTTGATTACAAGAATCAAACATGTTTCAGTTCTTTTTGTTGGATTATTTTTTATTTTTCATTAGTTCAAGACATCTTTTGGTTGATAATTTGATGTTGTGTCTTAAACTGCTGGCTGTTTTAATTAAACTCATATGAAGCGAAAAAAAAGGTTCAACATTTGTATTTTAAAGAACTTAAAACATTCAAAGATTAAAACGGTTTAAACAGGCAAATATTTTTGTCCCGTATAGAATTCCTCTTAAGGCATTTGTAATTTGTAAAATGAGTCATAATGAACAATAAATAAATAAATAAATAAATAAATAAATAAATAAATAAATGAATGAATGAATAAATGAAAATGCTGATTTTTCATTAAGACTTGATATTAAATAAATATATAAAAGACACCAAGAATTGATTACGGTAGCTAAAATACCATTTAATTTTCCTGATATACCTTTTATATCAGAAAAATAAAGGAAAACCCAAAAACCAGACATTTTTCTCATTATTCTTCAGCTTGTTCAAACACTTGTGATGTTAACAGGTTAAGGGGAGTGTGTGTTAAGGGTAGAGGAGTGTGTGGACCAATAATGTGAGCAGCAGTGCAGGTCAGGATCGTACCATGTTAGAGTGGGGCTGCAGGACCAGGCGAGCCTGTTTCCTCCTCTGCTTTCTGTAGTAGTTCTCAAACTCGTCACGCAAACCCTAAAAACACAAACCCAAGGTAAGAACCCAGAGACGGTTTGGACAGAGGAAAGTCTGCGGTGCCGGATCACTGAAAAATAAAACAGGTTAACTTTTCATTCCCAACAAAACTGGACTGCTTCGTATCTGCTTCTTCCATGACTCATGACTTATCTCTACATGTTTGAGATCTCAGACCAGGACCTGCAGTCCCCTCTGAGCTCAAGAGATAAATCTGTCCCCGACATGGAGCAGAGCGACGCTGCAGTCGGACCACCAACCTGCTCCCAGATAAACCCTTCAGAGTTCCTCTGTCTGCTTCTTCTCACTCGTTTTACACAAAGAGACGCTTCAAAAGTAACTCCGAGTCGTGAAGCCGACCTCAGAGGTGAACGGGTCAATCCTGTCAACACCTTCCTGAGACAAACCTTCTCCATCCTCCTCCAACAGTAGCACCCCCAACCCCCGATATCCATCTTTCAGTTTTCCTGTTTTTCATCCTCACCGTGACCTCCCTCCTTTCCTCCCATCCTGATCCCTCCTTATCACTCAGCTGATTCACCGTCCGTACAGAACCGACACGTCATCGTCATTCAAATGGGTTTTAAACCCCACAACTCATTCTTCATTTAATCCCAAACAAATGAGCTCTCTCTACAGCAAACTTTTGCATCATGCAAAAGATTATAAAATTACTGGCATCATCATCATCATCAACTGGAGACACGATAAAGTCTCCAAAAACCATATAATTTAAGATGTGTTTGAGCAAAAACGATGGTTTAGTCGTATGAGATCCAACTTTCTTTGACTCGTTTGAGCTCTGAATTTTGTTTTTACTTTCTACATGATGCCACCTTTAAAAGCATCAGACGTGGATCTGATTTAGAACCACAGGTGAAAATGACCCGGGTCGAGTACAACATGGGCCCAAAAATTAAAAAAAAAACTGATTTGGGTGACATTCCCCTGCAGTGTGATCGTAGCCCAAAACTAAACCTTCTGCTCCCTCCCAGGTGTTTTCACTCCTTCACCCCCATCCTTTCTCTAACCTCAATCCAGCTTTTCACTCCCTCCATCTTTCTCTTGCATGTTGGCTTTCTCCTTCCTGTCAAAGTTCATGCACTTCCTGT